TCACTTCTGTCGAAGAAGAAAATTAAGAAATTCTACAAAAAGTAAAAGGATAGATGGTGCTGAATCTGATTAGTCTCCTTGTTTCCCCAGCAGCTTTTATCCATGCATGATTCTTTTCCTATTAGGTATGACATACTGTAACATTCTGAGAGCAGTTCCATTAAGCAAAGGTGGGATCAAAATATCCTCTAAAACCAGCTTTTTTTAAAGTATAGGAGTAGTTTGATTATGATCTTTAATTTCCCACATGATGGAGCACCATGATTTGCAGGAAAAAGTGAAGTTACAGAACACCAATCGCCTTGAAAATCCCCATATTTTGATTCTCCTAAGAGTAAAAAAAAATGCAGATTGATCAACAGAAATCAAATACCTAAAAACTTGAAGCACATTTTTTTTAGAAAAAAAAAACGATGGCAGTCTGGATCTGCTCCTGAAGCTGTTACCCTCTGATCTACAACATCTATGTTAAAACGTCTGATTTTAGTTATTCTATAGTTTACCATAACAAAACATGTAAAACAAACTTTGAGGCCACAAACAACAACATCTGGGTATGAGTGTAGAGTTAAGGCCAACAGGGAAGCTACAGATGATGAGTGGTGCTGTGAATAGATTCTTGCTGTTGCTTGATGGTAGGAGCTACAACAGAGAAGCTAAAGTGTCAAGCTTGCTGTATCTTTGATCACTCAGGGGTACTTTCTTTAGCAGTGCTTACATGCTTGAGTTCCAGCAAGCAACAGATTTGATGATGCAATAAAAGAATTGCTGTCACCCACCAAGCCAATTTTTTTGCGATATATCAAGCAAGCAGCTAAAGGCGGCAATTTTATCCGGGAATCACGTCAGCATGAACGCACCATAATAGTAAAGAAAAACTTTAAATTTGAGAGTTTATCCCATTATCACAATTATTGTTGTTGTTTAAAATATAATTTTTCCTCATTTTAGTATGAGGAAATTATGAGTAATGAGTAATGTATGAGTAATGAGATCCATTATATAGCAGGTACTTTAACATGTATTCAAATCATGAAGACGTTGCCTCTTTTGAACAAAAACACATTAGTTTTACATCATATTTGTCCATTTTGACCATTCTAAAACGCAGCTAACATGGAATCAGAGAAAGAATCGAGGCTCTGTAGATCAAAGCAAAGATTCTCTTAAGAAAGACCTTATTATCCTTTTTGTGGATAGTTCCTCAAGTTAATATTTTTTCCATGTTCGCCTGTTGTGCTGCAAACAAGCATCTTTAAATAACCCTTATCTGAAGGCCTATATGTTTATTTGTGTCTTCAGACACCTAATGAGAGCAGAGACAGCTTCGTTTTTCAGAAGCTGCCAAGAAAAACAAAATAAATGAATAAGAACAGTTTGAAACTTTTCTTTCTTTTTTTTTTTTTTTTTTGTTAACCAGACCTCTTGGTCTGGCTGAATGGGCCTGGCATTTTCAGAGTTTATACAGAAGGCATCAGAAGAGAAGTGGAAACATTTTAAAGCTGTCTTACGCTAAAAAGCAAAGACAATGTCAATAACTTGACTTTCCATCCAGAGATAGTTTTTTTTTCCCTTTTTTTTAATGTATAATGCTACTCTGCCTGTCAAAACCGTTAGATGTCTGTGTTTGTCTCTCTCTTTAAAGTTTCAAATTGATGAATATTTAAAATCAGAAGAGGAACCAGAGAACAGGCCCTGATCTCATGCTCTGTCCAAAGCTTTTAAGAGTATTACTTCATAGAAAATCAGTTGGATATCTGTCTGGGATAAAGAAGTGACTATCAATGTCCTATATAGCACAGCGATAACAGGAGGCACCTACTTTGACCATGGTACACCTGCCCAGTAAATAACATGCCAACGGCAAGCGTTGATTTGAGGCGCAATCATTGCTGCTTAAACTTAGGATGGAGCAGCTCTTTTAGCACCTAGTTGAACAGCTACAGAAATTGCTCTTCTTTCTAGCTGATGTCTAATTCGGAAAAATTGGTTTTTCGGCTAAAAGATGTCTCAGCCTCAAATGTGGTGTGATACAGCAACATCATGAAATGGGCAATACCCACACGAGGAAAGGTGGAGCACAGTGAAGGCGAGTGTCTGTTTTTCAGATTCAGACAGTAAATGAGCAGCAGATTCAGTTGGATCCCAGAACCTCTGGGATCCAAGAACCTCTGGGATCCAAGTGCAATGCCCTAATCACTAGGCCACCACTACCACTTTGACAATAAACTAGACTGGAGAATTAGTGTCAAGTTGTGTGAAAGTTGAAGGACCAAAATGCAGAGAATGAAGCTGAGGTGGATTCTTAAAGATTTAATATGATTTCAAAAAGCAACAGAACCAAAGGTCCACAAACAAAATACTAAAATCCAGGAAAACAAACACGAAGGACAGAGAAATGATGAGGAACCAGCAAACAGTAACTGAAGAGGAGTATACATGGGAGACTGAACAAAGACTAGGCTAATCAGCAGACTGGGAGCAGGTGTGGACAGAAGAAACTAGAAGGGAGCTTGGAGAAGGAGACTGACACAACAAGGCAACAGCGGGTAAACAAGAAACTCATAACAACTCAAATACAACCAAAAAATACCACAAAAAGGGAATTAAATCAAAACCAGAAAACAGAAAAACATGAATCAAAATGAAACTTAAACAGAAGTGCAGAATAATGACACCTAGAACCTTTGGAGATTATTTCACATATAAGAATTTGTCTTAAAGTAAAGAACAGCAACAGCGACAATCCTTTTCAGAAGATTTTTAAACAACAACAGTGTTTTCAGCAAGAGGCTTCTCCAGATCACTAGAGAAGATCCCTTCCTGCCTACAGCTATCAACACCTACAATACTTTTTATTAAAAAAAAAACCCAAAAAAACAAAAACAAATGAGGTACTTTTGGGATTAATAAAGCATAAATAAAAAAGCATTAATAAAACTGTTGAACTGGGGAAAGGCGTCAGAGGTCACAGTCTGCACTGGATCCAGCGTAGTACAATGAATGACTTAATAGTCCTTAATTAAAATCTTGGGATGTTACAGCAACGGGTCTATAGTCACTGAGGACTGTTGGCAGAGTCTTCTTTTGCACTGGAACAAGGGAGGTCTTCCACTTTACAGGAAATGTCTGATGGGTCAGGCTAAGGTTGAAAAGGTGCTGTAGAATCCAACAGAGCTACTCTGCACAGGCCTTCAGGACTCCCTGCCTGACACAATCAAGACCTGGTGACTTATTACGATTCAGTCTCTCCAGTTGCCTCCTTACTTAACTTTTAGAGACAGACAGGTGAAAGGTGGAGGGATTAGCACCATTTTCTGATTTGGCTGACAACAAATTCATAGGAGAAGGAGATCAATGGCAGAAGAGGGCTGGATGTCCATGTGACTGTGGGCAAGAGAGAAGGATGCAGAGCTTGTTTCTGAACTGAGACAGTTGAAGAATATATCCAGTTCAATTTATTCTGTCCAGACTTTTACCTGTCTGATCATCGCTGCCAGCCCAGCCTGTGATCTTCTTCATCCTTGACCACACATCTCTGATATTGCTCTGCTGGAGCTTGTTTTACAGCCTCTTCTTTTATGCCTCCTTGCTGCTGCTTTTGTATACTCGTAATTAATTTCACGTCAACCTTCTCAAAGGCTTGTTTTTTTCTTGTAAAGCAGTTGCTTCATATCACTTGTGATCCATGGTTTATTTGCCTTAAATGTATTAAATTACCTTGCAGATTTGCCTAAACTATAATCAACAGTAATGACCTTTTAATATAAAAATGTCCTCTTCAGCCATTGCAGCATAAGTGGGCACATCTTGCAATGTGTGTCTTGTATTATTCGCAGCTGCAATTGGTTACTCTAAGCCAGGGGTCACCAACCCTTTTTAAGGCTGAGGGATACTTCATGGTTAATGAGTCATTTCTAATTTTATTGTGGATATTGTCTTTATGTAAACTATAAATGCTTAAACAGTCTTTATGATTAATATAATGAAATAAATGATTAAAAAATGAAGACCAACAGAATAAAATTAAACTTCAAAAGGAGTTGCTCTGATTTGAAGAGAAGCTGAGGGCCCCCATGTGGTCCTGGAGGGCCCCTGGGTTCCCGTGGGCACCGTGTTGGTGACCCCTGATCTAAACCATCTTCCCAGTGAAAATCAAATAATTATTGAAAAAGAAACGACGACAAATTTTAATTCTATTTTTTTATTTCAAAATAGACATGCTCAAATGCACAGATCCTAATTCCACAATAAGATATTCTCCATATTTTTTCTTTCTTTAAATCTCAGAGAAAATATACAGGTTTTTTTTCTACAGTGCCTTCAGCATATGCAAACATTAGAGTGCCTTTACTGTCTGAAAACCAAAAACACCCACGCAGGAAAACCGTGTGCACTCCTGAATGTACTGCAAGTAGGTCTGTGTGTGTCACTTTCTTCAAAGCACCGATCATAAGCTGTTTCAAGTACAAAAATAAGCTAAATTTAATATTCAAAATGAATAACTAAGGGATTGGGTTTCTTCTCACTCTAAGAGGTCATTTGGGCTTCTTGACAATTCAGTTCCTCTCAATCAAAAACTTAAGCTACAATTTATGGCTTAACAAGGAGCTAAATGGTTTGAATAACAAACTAAAAGATAAAATGATTTTTCAGTTTGTGGAACAGACACATTTCACCTGGATACACTTTCCTTTAACCATCCTCAGGCTTAAAGACAAAGCATTATCTAAAACTATATATTTTCTCAAACTCCTGCTCACAGTGCAGAGGCACAAAAAGACCATGTTGTGAAAAATGAAAAGCAGTGACAAAAATAGGGTCCTTGCCGCAAGGAAATGCTCTACATAAAAAAGAAAAATAGATCAGTCTGTCTCCCATAGGTGAGACTGGCTATATTTCTGACTCCTCAGTTTCAGCAGCACATTCAAACTGAGCTGAACTGAACTATTGTGCCATATCCATCAGATGGCAGCAGAAGCAGGGTTTAAAGCCAGAAGCAGGGTTTAAAGCACCTGATTATCAAGTTTAAAGCCACAAATCCCCAAAGAACAATTTTCAGGCTGCAGATGTGACATTCTATTTGAAGAAGTGACCAGAAATTCTCACAGTGAACTTAGGGGTTGACACAGAAATAGCATGGCGCTCTGTGGGTGATAGTGTTGGTTTACTGACTATTTCAATGCCTCCTAAAACAGAGGCAGACAATAGGAAGCTAATGCAGCAGTTCGCAGATGTATTTGCAATATAGGAAAATGTAGAAGAGTTCTACGTAAAGAAATGTTTGCAATCAGTGAATGCAAGGGTTAGCAAAAAAAAGAACACAACCAAAACCGCACATCAAATAATATAAATAGCATTATTATGTTAAACCAGTTTTTTTTTTAACATCTATGATCCCGTTTAACATGCTGATTTTATAGAAGTCGAGCTTTTAAGGTGGAAATTTCACAACTTTTAAGACTCTGACCCACAAAAAGGCACCAGAGTCATTCGCTAAGGGAAGATTTCTTTAAAATCAGTTTAACACCGGAGTAATATTATTAAAACAGCATCAATAATCTAAGAGGTTTTGTTTATTTTTAAGTGATGCTTTTAAATCTTAAAGAACTCTAACATAATTTTTGTGAAATTATCAAGATACTGGTTGATAAGGGACCCCAACTTGGTGAATTAATGTTTTAAATAATGCCTGCAACTCTGTCACTTATGTTTATCTATGGTATGCAGCAGAGATCTATTCCTGCAGGAAAGCGCCTGCAGAGAAACCTATTGAACTATCTCTGGTGTAAAAACATAATATAAAAATATTAAAATGAAAGAAATATTAAAGAAGAGAGAACTGAGGTTATCTTTTTACACAACAAACTTTTCCTTTCGTACTGTTCTTAAAAAAAAGGCGACGTTCCCCTGCTGCCTCCTGTTTTCAACACTGCTGATAAATAATACTGATAAAAACAGATAAAACGTGGAGGCAAACCTGATGAAAACGATCCCTCCGATTGGTGTTAATGCAACAGACTAAAGAAGACATAAGACAAGTTAATCCTCATTGGTAACACTGAAGGAAAAGAAACCAATCCTTGCTCCTCTTTGCCAAGTCTTCTCAGTCAAGTTTCACATCAGCATAAAAGATCAAAAATAGAGAATTTTTTGCCATGAAGTAATGAGTATTTCTTCTCCCGAGCTACAAAGCTGCAGCAGCTCGTAAACGTATGCATTACTTTACAGTTTACAGCTCCAAAGTGATGTGGGAAACAGAATGTAAGAGACAGACCACAGCAGGTAGTAGACACATGCAGGGGGGAAGGAAGAGCAGAATACCATGGCAACTCCTGAAACAGACAAATAGAAGAAAATCAAAAGAAAAATCTTCCTCTACATCCATCTCTTGTTTTCAGCATGAATACCACTTGTGTCCAAGTTTTCTACGGGCAGTGAGCCACATGGACATATTTATATATATATATATATATATATATATATATATATATATATATATATATATATATATATATATATATATATATAGAGAGAGAGAGAGAGAGAGAGAGAGAGAGAGAGAGAGAGAGAATCTGCTACTGACTGAAAATGTTCATATTTCCATTACAGCTCCACAAACATTTCTATTTTCACTTACCCCCAGCATACACCACCTTCTTCCAGGTCTGAGACTCCAGCACTTTATCATGGGGATAGAAATTCTGACTGATCATAAAGAGAATCATGGCCACTGCTATGACCCGTAAAACTGTCATGTTTCCTCCAGACAGCAAGGAGGCGCTGGCTAGGATGGCTGAGGAGTAGATGCAGGGGAGGCCGCGGTACATGAATGGAATACCTAATAAAAAACCAAAAATGAGGTTTGGTTTAGACTCATTAAGATATAATAAATGTTTGCGTAAATATAAGCCTTCAGTTACTCACCACTAGAAAAGAAACAGAGCCGGACGAACACGGACAGCACGTAGCACATGCATAGGACGTTGTCCAGCAGGTCGGATGTCCTCAGCAGCAGAGATGTAGCGATCCCGAACGTGGTAAAGTCTGCAAAATCATCCAGCTTTGCACCTACACATGGAAAACCAAACCACTAAGCTGCTGATACATCTATTACTATTAACATATGCTCTCAAAAAATTAGTTTCTAACTCAGTTGTCTTATTTGGGTTCACAGGCATATAAGAATCTACCTAGTCCTGCTCCCTCCTCAACTATTTAAGACCAACCCAAAATGCATCAGCCAATCATTTTGCAGTATTATGGTTCAAGGCAGGACATATAGCATTATGAAAGCAAGAGCTGCACTGCCCACAGCGATCCAAAATAAACTTCGCAGCACAGAAAGACTAACCCTTGCCCTATCCCTAACTCTGACCCTAGCCCTGACCCTAAACCTAGCCCTGACCCTTACTCTAAATCTAACCCTAATTCTCCAAATTCTACAAACACCGCTGCATATTTGCACCATACATATTTGTCTTTGCCCTGTTCTGAACTTCCATATCAATGCGTTTTGCACCGTGTTTTTTTTCTCCCACGATCTTTACATTTGATCACTGCTGCACTTAACGTTAATGTTCATTTCACTGCTAAGCTGCTGCTCATTTACTGTCTGAAAGCTATACAAAACGAGATTTAGCTTTGACAATAAAAGTTTGTTGTGGTTTCTCATGATGACTGCTGACATTTTATTTGTTACTATGATTGGCTAAAACCAAATGTCACTAAAAATGTATGTGTAGGTGTCTGAATTTGTAAATGTAAGTCAATAGTGAGAGAAGAAGTCAACATGTTAAATCTCACACATAAATAACTCAAGCCTGAGTTACCTGGGAGACTAGTATGGAGGGAATTTTGTTCCATTATTGTTGAAGGCAAAGAGCACAAATTTTAAAAAATGCAATCTGGAAATAAAACATTCTAAATATAATAAAAGAGTTTTGAGAATTAAAAACGTTTTCTCAGAATTTACTTTTTCTCCATATTTATTTATTTTTTTGACAATTATTCGATTTTCTTTTTTACAGATCATATACTTTCACTTTTTTTTCCGGTGTTTTTGTTTTTAATTGAATCCTTTCCTTTCCTTTGGGGCAAGGAATGAAGATGCAGTTCTAACCTCCTGCATGGATCTTAGCAACATTGTTTTTGTTGATCAAGAGAAAGCTTTTGTATTGGGCTTCAAGTTCAAGTTCAAATGTTATCTTCAAAAAACAATTTAAGAATAATGCCTAAAAGAAAAGAAAAAAAAATAGATTTGAAAATAAAAAAGGGATAAAAACTGAGAAATTGAGAATAAAAGTTAATCTACAGCAAAGTTAATCTAAAAATTAAGCTTAATTTCTGAAATGCATTTTGCCCTTAAAAATATTTAGCAACAATAATGGAAGAAAATTAACTCCATAGAATAGCAAGAGTAAAACGAAAGTTACTGCCGTAACTACGGTTCTATGAATCCAGGATGACCGCCAGAGGCGGTGCTTCAAGCACTGAATGATCATTCATGCGCATGCGCAGGTCGAGTATTAATGACAACAAAGTCAGCTGTGACCTGCCGGGGACCCACGTGACTCTATATAGTCACGTGGCACCCGGCAATCAATCCCTCAATCTTCTCGCGAAAGCAGAGATTCCGAGGGACCAAGCACTCTGGCGGTCATCCGGGATTCATAGAACCGTAGTTACGGCAGTAACTTTCGTTCTATTTCATCCCTACTGACCGCCAGAGGCGGTGCTTCAAGCACTGGATGACTCCTATCAACAAGGTCACGAGGAATCAGCAACATTCAAGGAACAACGACTACACCACCCACCTAATGTGATGTAGAGGCATGCTGCTCGAGGATTCCCTGAAGCGGATGGGGCGCAGCCACATTCACCCTGTAGAACCGAGTAAAGGTACTAGGTGATTTCCAGGAGGCCGCACGGCATATAACATCCAATGGCACCCCAGTCATAGCAGCAAACGATGTCGACATGCCCCTTGTAGAGTGGCATTTCACTCCCGCCGGCAGTGCCCGGTCCTGCAAGGCATAAGCCTTGGAGATCAAATCCACAACCCAGTGTGCAAGTCGCTGCTTAGAAAGTGCCTGACCCTTCCGTGAGCCAGCGTAGCAAACAAAAAGGCTATTTGTCTTTCGGAAGGATGCCGTGGCATTGATGTATGTCTCAAGGGCACGAACAGGACACAGTGGTTCAGAGGGACGTCCGGAGTCAAACCGGGCAAGATGGAGAGGCTGGGTGCTGCCTGCTGGCAGTGATACCTTAGGAATAAACGCTACGTCAGCCCACAGTGTAACGCCTGAGCCATCAGGATTCCACCGGCAGCAGGGTTCGGCTATCGAGAGAGCCTGTAACTCCCCTACACGTTTTGCGGAAACCATAGCTAAAAGAAACGCAGTCTTCAGTGAGAGCCATTTGAGGTCCGCCGACGCCAGGGGCTCAAATGGGAGGGACCGAAGAGCCTCAAGCACAAGAGAAAGGTCCCACGCCGGTGCCACAGGGCGGTTGGGTGGGTGCAAACGCCGAGCACCTCTTAAAAACAGTACAACATCCTTGTCTCGGCCCACAGAACAACCATTCAGCCCAACATGCCAACAGGAAATGGCAGCCACATACACCTTTAAGGTAGATGGAGACCGTCCTTGATCCAGCAATGCCTGCAGGAAGGTCAGTATGTCAGAAACTGAACACTGCACCGGGTCCTGCCCTCTATCACGGCACCAGGTGGCAAAGACCGTCCACTTGTTAGCATAGACAGCTCGCGTGGACGGCGCCCATGCATTAGCCATTGTATACCCTATGGACCCAGTGTATCTTGAGAAGGTGGATCCTGGCCTTGCAGGGGCCAAATCCAGAGCTGGAGCCGGTCCGGTTCGGGGTGCAAGATCTGACCCCCCATCTGGGAAAGAAGATCTCTCCTGGAGGGGAGACGCATTGGCGAGCCGGAGCTGAGCTCGCACAGTAGAGGAAACAAAGTCCTCGCTGGCCAGTAGGGGGCCACCAGCAGGACCCTGTGCCCCTCCTGACGTACCCTGAGGAGAGTCTGAAAAAGTAGGCTGAATGGCGGAAAGGCATAAAGGAGGGTCCGGGGCCAGTCGTGTGCCAGAGCATCGTGGCCCAGAGGGCTGCTGGTGTCCAACGAGAACCAAAGGGGACAGTGAAATGCGTCCCTTGAGGCAAAGAGGTCCACGTCCGCCCTGCCAAAGACCTTCCAGATGCGCTCCACCACCTCTTGGTGAAGCTTCCACTCCCCTGGAAGCGGCTTCTGACGGGATAGAAAATCTGCTGGCACGTTCTCCGGCCCTGGGATGTAGGCTGCTCTGAGGCTGGCTATGCGTGGAGCTGCCCAGGTCAGAAGCCGTCGAGTCAAGCACAACAGTTTCCTTGACCTCGTTCCCCCCTGGTGGTTGATGTGAAAGACCACTGTGGTGTTGTCTGACCTCACCAGCACGTGCTTCCCCCGCAAGCCTGGAAGAAAGCTCTGAAGAGCCAGAAGTACAGCCTGTAACTCCAGGACATTGATGTGTTCCCTGCCCTGCCGCTGGGACCATGTCCCCTGTGCCATTTGACCCCGCCAGGTTGCACCCCAGCCCGTGGAGGATGCATCTGTAAACACAACTTCCCGACGACACGGGAGGGAACCGAGCGGGACCCCTGTGGTCATAAACAACCTCACCCTCCATTGGGACAGAGACTGGATACACTGAGGCCCCACCCGAAGTCTTCGGAGACGATGAGTGTTCCGTGTGGGATCCAGATTCAAGCTGTTCAACCACATCTGGAGGGGCCGCAATGACAGCAGCCCCAAGGGCACTACGGCGGACGCAGCTGTAAGCATGCCCAAGAGTCGAAGATACCGCACAAGAGGCAGCGCCATGCCGCGCCTGAATTCCGGGAGCACGCTCAATATACTGTCCACCCGCTGGGGTGACGGGCAAGCAGTCATTGAGATGGAATCCATGGCAATGCCCAGGAAGACAGTCTCCTGTGAGGGAGTCAGACTGCTTTTCTCCATGTTCACCTGCAAGCCCAAGCATCCCACATGATGGAGCACTAACCGAGTATCTCGAACCGCCTGGTCCCACGTCGCAGCACAAATGAGCCAGTCGTCCAGATATGGGAGGATCCTCAATCCCTGTGCCTGCAGAGGAGAGAGAGCCGATGCAACACATCGGGTTAACACCCTGGGGGACAGTGAAAGTCCGAACGGGAGGACCCTGAACTGGAAATGTCTCCCCTGAAAAGCAAAACGAAGAAACCGCCAATGGGGCGGAGCGATCGGAACGTGAAAATAAGCATCCCTGAGATCTATGGAAGTGAACCAATCGCCCGGGGAAATCGCCTGCAACACTTCCCTGGTGGTCAGCATATGAAAGGGCATGGCCTTCAAGTACACGTTCAGGCCCCTGAGGTCCAAGACTGGACGCAGGCCCCCGGTCTTCTTCGGAACCAGAAAATACGTGGAATAAAAGCCCCCTGGATCCAGCAGGGGGTCCACAGGCACTATAGCACCCTTGGCCAGCAAGGTGCAGATTTCTTGGTTCAGTGCCTGTGCCTTCACCGGGTCGTGGATCACAGTCATCCTGACCCGGCCAGGGATAGGTGGCCGGCGGCGGAATTGAAGACGGTACCCCCGGGACAGGGTGGACAACACCCACAAGTCCGGGGTGTGGGCAGCCCAGAAGCTGAGCTGTCCCGGGGAAAAATAACCGACCGCCGGCCCTAAGGCATCATCTGCGGGTCCCCCGGCCCTTCGAAGGCCCGGGAGGACGCCGGCCAGACTGCGCGGCTCGAAAGGGATGAAAGGACCTCGTCCCAGCCTGGTCTCGAGCTCTGTTCCTCCGATCTAGAGCAGGTCTCTGGACCGATCTCTGACCTGGTAACAGACCCTGGGGCTCAGTGGGAGAAGGAGAAGGCACTAAGGACCTCCGTGAAGGACCCGCAGCTGCCCAGGTGCTTACTGGCTGGCGATCACGTCTGTGAAGCCCTGCCAGCTGTTGCCTCGTTCTAGAGGCCTGAGCCGTACGGTCCAAGGCGTCCAGTGCCGCAGAACCAAAAAGCTCCCCCGGGACCACAGGCAGGGCCCGGAGGGTCCTCCTACAAGGCTCAGTTAGTGGTGACTGCGCCAACCAGACCTGGCGGCGAGCATGAACCAGTGTGGAGAGTGTGCGTCCAAGTTCCCTCGTCATAAGAGCAAAGGCCTCCAGAGATGCATCAACCAGGCCTTGCGTGGCATGATCCAGCGGAACAGATTCCAAGGAGGAAGACAGGGCCAGCATAAGATGGGAGAGAGAGTTCCCAATCCGGCCCATGCGGGCCCCAGAGTCATAGGCCTTACAGAGAAGGTCGTCGGTAATACGGCACTGAGGACGCGGACAACGGGCATTGGGCCGCAAGGCCTCATCAGGCGGGATTATAAGAGAGGCAATGCCCGGTTCCACCGCTGGCATCTGCCCCAAGCCAACCTTGGGTGCCTCCTGCATAGCTGCCAGGGCCCTGCCATCCGTCGTCAGACGTGAAAACGCCTTGGTGTCTGACCAGCAAGCATGCAGTTCCCGCACATACTCCGCCGAGGGAGGAACCACAAAGGCAGTCTCTGACCTACTGCGCCTAAAGAAGGCGCTGGAAGCCGCAGGCTGGGCCTGAGGAACACTAATCTGTAAACGGGCAAGAGCCGTTCGAATAGCGGATGTCACAGACTCCCCCGCATCCTCCTGGGAGGCAATGGAGTCCGACCCGGAGGCCCCGGAGCCCAGCTCCGGAAGGTCCTCACAGAAATGGGTGCCAGAGGCCGCCACAGAAACCGCATCGTCGTCATTGACTGACGTTTCATCCTGCTCGGTAGGGAGAGCCGTGCCACGATCACCAGCAGTCTGAAAGGACTGGAGGAGGGCTTTCATTTGGGCCAGCTCAGTAGTGAGATGATCCACTCTGGTGGACAACCTCCCTGCATCGGTCCGTCTAGCACGCTTCGTCGGTACCGAAGGTGCAGCCACAGTAGAGCGTTTGCACACCGCTTTCTCCATCGGCAAACGAGCACGCGGCGAAGCGCCCGCCCAGTCGGTAGGCTGCTCCAGTGCAGCCAACCGATCCAGTCTGACCGACCGGGGCATGACGCGACAGTTGGGGCAAGCGTCATCTGACAGCGCCTCCCGGAGATGTTCCACACCGAGGCAGGAGGGACACAAGTCATGCCCGTCGTCGGGCTGAAGTGGAGCCAGACAGGTCGAGCAACATAAATTATCCAGCATCATACTGCTGAAAGGCGTGATCAGCCCGCTACCAAGGACAAGTCAACACGAGCAGGAAACGCTACTGGCGACCCGATTATTAACCAAAGATGAACTCAGCACGAGCAGAGACGCCACTGGTGAGTTTAGGCAAACAAACTATAGAAGAACCCAACGCGAGCAGAAACGCCACTGGTGGGCTTAGGCAAACAAACTGAAAACAACTCAGCGCGAGCAGAAACGCCACTGGTGAGTGTAGATAAACTATAGAAGAACCCAACGCGAGCAGAAACGCTACTGGTGGGCTTAGGCAAACAAACTGAAAACAACTCAGCGCGAGCAGAAACGCTACCGTGAGTCAAAAGAGCCACAAAATTAAGGTGGCAAATCAAAGCGAACAGTAAACTACTGCTGAGAAAAGAACGAAAACTTACCAGTCACTGCAGATCTGGTAAGGTGAAAGCAGCTTGTGCAGCCCCTGGAGGGCGAGACTTACCCACAGCTCCGACCAAACCCGGTCACGGGGCTACCAGCAACAAGCAGCCAGGAAACCAGTGGTATACACAGAAGCAACCAGCTTCACACGACCACACTCCTGTACTCAACACACCTGCGCGCGAGAAGAACAAAAGGGATTGATTGCCGGGTGCCACGTGACTATATAGAGTCACGTGGGTCCCCGGCAGGTCACAGCTGACTTTGTTGTCATTAATACTCGACCTGCGCATGCGCATGAATGATCATTCAGTGCTTGAAGCACCGCCTCTGGCGGTCAGTAGGGATGAAATAGAACATATATTAAGAGGTGCTCTCCAGTAATCTGACCAAGCTTGAAGCATTTTGTGAAGGAGAGGGGGAAGAGGTTAAATCTTTATTTATCGAGGATAAACTCCATAGACTCTAAGCAGTAATTGCATAAAAGGCTGCAAAACAAACCAGCGTCTCTGGTGTTGGCATACAAATGTACCACACTACACTTTTGTAAACAATTTTCCCTTCTAAAATTTAGGTATAATGTAATGCAAGACAAAGTGAAAACGTTAAAGGTATATCATGACTTTCAGAAGACAGTATGGAAGTGTTTTCAGCCTTAAGCTTGTGCATCCCTACCATGTGAAAGTGTTAGTTGCACATACATGCAAAAATCTTTAACAGCAAACATCAGCGTCAGCTCAACGAGCAAGCTTTTCAAAAAAACAAAATTCTCCGCTGGCTCATCTCTTTATCCCTCAGGAGTGCATAGCATGTTTTCAGCAGATGACGATGAGGTGATTCAGGCTGCAGCCATCAGTGAACAGGTTGGAATCCAGGGAACCCGGGGTTAAATATTTAAGCAATTTCAGACATGCGGAGAAGCCAAAGCAAGAGGACAATGCAGACAATTGGAACTGGATCCCATGGACTTAGGTTGCCTAATGGGAAAGTGTTCAATTGAAAAAAAAAAACAAAAAACAAAAACAACAGCACACACCTGCAAAGTCATGCAGAAAATGCTTGTTGAGACATAAAGCTCCCTGCACAGCCAACAATGATGCAGCTGGGAGCTATTTTAAGCTTCTGGGATAATATGGACACTGGTCAGGTGCAGGTGTTATTTATATTGCAACTTGGCTTAGAAAAACGTTTTTCAAAGTTTAAACTTAGCATTTTGTCTTTCTAAACCCCTTAAGAAATAAAAAAAAACTTATAAAACATGTTTCTTATATTCCTAGCATGTTAAAGGCTAAGCAGAGTTTTCAAAAGTGATGCTGCCTTTCATTGAAGACATTCCAATTACAAATGACTGTGCAGCATATCCTGCCAACGGCCTCACTGAAGTTAATCTTTGGTTAAAGCTTATTGACCAATAGCCTATACTTACCCAGTGCCGAGCAGGCATTAAGTTGCCTGGCAACCGCTCCATCTGCCAAATCTAGGAGGTACCCAATCAGAACCAGCCAGCATGCCGCGTGATGGTGCCTGAACAAAACAAGGGAGAGTGAAGTTGAGTTGTTTGAAGAGTGCAAGCCCATTTTCCTCCAAAGGTGCCATGTGTGTCAGGCCTGAGAGGTAATTCTGTCAGAAAACTGCCAAATCTGTTCAAAACTTGTGTTTTTTTCAGTTTTTTCATAAGTTATGTATATCTAGCAAAAAAGTCTTCATTTTTTTTTTTTTTTATCAATGCTACCTTGCCACCCTTCCAGCCTTTCCAAATTTTTTCACACAGTGAACACGTGAGAGAAGGCTCTGTGATTGGAGCGACATATTATGAAAACCAGCAGTGAAGATTACTCTAAACAGAACATACTCTCTGTTAGACACGCTGGTGGTAGCATCATAATGTGGAGACGATTTAAGAAAGTAACTGGTCAGGCTTCAAGATGGAGGAGTAAAATATGAGGCAGTTCAGGAGGAAAACTATTCAGAATCTTTTAAAGGGATCCTGGATTAGTTGTAACGGTTTAAATTTGCATGTTTCCAAGCAATACAAAGCCTTTTCTATATAAAGACTTAAACTCACTGCAGATCCAGACATTTGAATTGAGAAAGCTTCCTGGAGGGGAAGCGAAACGTCTTCAAACCTTAGAAACCAAGTCCAGTGGCATGTTTTTTAAAATTTTTACGGAATTGTAACAAATATTTTATGTGAGGAATATTTATGTTGTATTTAAATACCATATAGTTAAAATGCTCTAGGCTCTTTAGTTTAAAGTTGTAGAGGATGATCTATTATTTCCGGGTGGATCATCTAAATAAGTGGTCCTCCTAATTGTCAATCATTCTGGTGATAAGTTTACATGAGGCCATCCTCCTTGCTCATCCCGTTAGCTATCTTTTCCTGCACATTCAGGTGTATATGTGTGGTGAGCTACGGTTTCAGCCAGTCATTGAAGCTCACCTTTCTCACCGCAGTTCTTCTAAAATGGCAGAGGGACGCAAGAGAAAAAGTGTCTATGAAGTGTATGAGAAGAAAAGAAATTGGTCCCAGGAGAGACAGATATGTTCCGGAATGCTTTGCACTGAGAGCTCTCCTCGCAAAGCATTATGGGATTTGCTGTCACAGCGGCCCGCTGTCGCCATAGGCTGCCACCACCCAACAGCAACGACTAATAACAAAGATGGCGCAGGCACCGCATGGTGGAGGAGGAGTTATGTGACCAGCGGAGCAAAAAGTAGTAATCATCTGTCTGAGTGCTAAGTTAACTAAGTTCACTATAAAGTTCACTATTAAGTCCCCGCTCTATATACTGATTGAGGGATTTAGGGTGGACATTCAGACACAGTAAGCCTGTATGGGCTATGAGAACATCAACTTTTAAACAGAGCGTGCACGAGGAGAAATGAACTTATGCATCCTCTCACACAAGCATTTTTTTAAGTAGAGAAAAAAAAATTGCGAAAATCTTCCACAGTTAAAAAAAGTAAAATTTAAGTAAAGATTAGACTTAGACAGATTTTTTCATTTTGTATACACAAGTGTAAACAAAAAGAAATTTTGTTAAGTACAGCTCTCTAGACTACGTCATTCTTTAAAGTGGAAACATGTAAGAGGAGGAGAGTTTTGAGTCGGAGGTCGTGGATGAGTCTCCGACATCATAAATTTTTTAATTTAGAGGAGGAAAGCGTGGACAAAGATGTTGTGGAATAGGACGCCAAGGAGGCTGAAGCTTTGTTTGGTGTAGAAGGCTTACAGCAACGCTGCCAGTTCTGTTAGCTCTACGGCACAGACGTCCATCCCAGTGAACACTGGGACGGAACTCAATAGTAAAACAAATTATTCTTATTTCACCCGTTGCGTATATTAGCTGCGACATATGAATCAAGATGCTATGACCGAAAAAAAATTTGACTGACAGATGATCGTTGATATATGATTGCCCGAATTTAGGTGTACAACCTGACGTATAACTAACTGGCCTGCATAAAAGAAAAAGAAAAAGCACAGATTTTAAGACAGATTTTTTTTTTTTCTAGAAATTTTCTAAATTTTGGGAAAATATAGTCTGATAAAGAGTACATTTATATACATGTTTAAGCCAGAATGATTTGACATTCATATATGACTTCCCTACGACTTTAACCTTCCTTTGTTTATTCTGTAGGTTCCAGTTGAATGAGACGTAACCACGTCATTAGCCCAGCATGCATTGCAGGGGGAAAAAAAAGGTAACTCCATGGGTGAAAAATATAACAAACTATACATAATTGAATCTATTTGATATTTAGGCCAACGTGTTTAACTACTAATACGATAAAAAAATGTGAACCTGTGTTTGGATTCTCTGATGCTCAGTCTTTTATTTTTCTCCTAGATCATGCGTTCGCTCACCCGTTCAGGCTGCTGAGGATGGAGGCCATGCCCATGACCATGTTGGCCACAGACAGAGCATTAGCAGCGTTTTTCCGCACAACCTCCTTGATCTGGAAGCCTGTGGCATGATCGCTCAGGAGGAGCTTGTTGGCGTACTGGAAGAAATCTGAGAGCAAACAACAGCAGCAGTTAGCATCTGTCCATGTTCAATCAAAAATCCCCCCCACCCCACTGTGATCGGACGAGCACACCAGCTGACCTTCTCAGTTTACTGATTTAATCCCATTCTGATTCAAACTAAGATGGGGTCAGGAGTTCTAAGTCTTCAGTATATCAGTCATTACTTGATAAAAAATAATATACACCAGTTAATCTAATAAAACAGAAATACTAATCCAATACTGAAGGCCCCGCCTGATGTAAAAGAAGTATGACTTACCAAGCTGTTTGCTTATTGGACGGAGTTCAACTTTACGATACATTCATCCATTTTCAGATCAAGAACAAATCTATAATATGCCATGACTTAGTAGATTGTTTTACATGTAACAGCAATGTGTGCTTCATTATTTACAACACAGTAGGAGTGATTTTGTTCCATTTTTCTAGACATTTTGTAACTGGAAATTTGAAAAGAATGCAATCCAGAAATGAAACTTAGTTTTCATGAAACATTAATAAAGGTTTTTAAAGTGAATTTAGATTTAAAAAAACATGCGAAACAAACTTTTTTTTTTATATTTCATTATTTCAAATAGAATTCTATCAAAACACTTTTTAGCAGAATTTTTACTTTCAAATGTTGTTTTTTTCAAAGTTTTTTGTTTTGTCTACTGATTTGAAATTTTCAGTGTTATTTTTCAAATTGCTCTTTTGAATTTAATTGATTGAATTATCCAGATTTCTTTTCTGTAAATGTTTTACAATTCCTTTTACTGCTTGGGGGCGGGCCTTCCTCTTAAGTAAAGAACACAGACACATTTCTATTGGTCTGCATGGGGAAAAAATGGAATCATTGTCAATGGGCACGTCAAGAGCAAGAATTTGTTATTGTATAGAGAATTTGATTAATAAAACACTATCTGTAAAACAGTAAAACTGTATAAAATTCTTCGCAAAAACAAAACAAAAAAGATTTTGAAAAAAACTAAATTTGAATTTAAATTTGAACGATTCAAATCTGGAAACAAAAAAACAATTGAAAAAATTAAATATGAAAAATTAGTAAAAAAAAAAAAAAAAAAAAAAAAAGAAAAAAAAAAGAGAAAATAGCTTTAAATATACATTTTCAAATTTCCATAAAAATTAGCTTTTTTCAAATTGACATTTACAAACTACGCTATTTGCTTTGCAAAAATAAAAAAAATGGGACAAGATAGCCCCCGTATAGTTAAAATATTTAGCTTTAGAAATATCTCAATAACATACAGGAAGCGTCATTATGTGTTAACTTGTAGAAAACGAAACATAGCTATGTTAGCGCTGACAGGTGGTTTTTCTGAGGGATCAAATGCTGATGTGAGGGTCACTGCATCACTGGGCTACTTTCACAGGGAGCTGGACCTACTGCACTGACACAAAGCAGACGAGATCGATTAGCCTGTTAACATTGACCTAACAACAGCAGTGCTCACGTAACTGACTGATTGTTGGGATCAATTAATAGCAATTGGACTTGAGCTTTAATGGAAGGGAGTGACATTGGGGTGGAAAAATCCAGGACTGTGGAAAAAAGATTCAAATCCTCCTGTTATTCTATTTATTCTTTTATTGTCTCTCTGCTTGATAGAAATTTGGTAAAGCTACACTGGTAAGGGTCATTTTCATAAACGGAGAATTTATTATGAATAATAAAATCTCTTGTAGACGTGCAAAGGAAAACGACATACCATAAATAAAAAAACGTTTTTTTCAGTCCTAAAGAGATGTTTTCTGACTGCGATCTTTTAAATAGATGTGTTGATTCTTATCTTAGAAAAAGACTGTGTAAGCACTAATGTCTAAGATCTTCTACACTGGAAGAGAAACGTCAATTCGATTTTTAAGTGTGAAAGAATAAAAAACAACCCTAGGCTGAGGGAGGAGGAGTTGTGATTGTTATGTCCTTATTGTTAACAGTAAATGCAATAAAACGACTCTCTCAGTAACTCTAAACTAATTAAACTAAACAAAAAGACTTAACGATAGACACAAAGGTCTAGACAATAGTGAAATCAATGCTTTTATGTCTTATTAAAAACAAGAGAACAGAGACGAGACAGCCAGTCGTGCCCTCTCTGGAGCTAAGGAACCATGCCGGTAGATCGGAGGAGAAAAAACGCAGGTTGGAGAAGCTTGCTGGGCAGACAGAGCACGAGAGTGAGGGAGGGAGGGAGGGAGGGCGGCTTGCTGGTGCTATCTCAGGAGGACAGCGGAGGGGCACAGATCAGAGAAGCATGGCATTAAACAGAGCGCTGAAATGGTGTGAGAGGGTGTGTCTGCCTGGGAGGACTGTGGTACATCAGAGAAGCCGGCCGGGGAGATGGAACAGGAAGAAGCATCGGCTGGCCGGGGCTAGCCTCAAGGGGCTAACTGTGGGAGATTGAAGGAGTACAGTGGAAGATCAGAGGAGCCTGCCAGACGGACAGAGGAGGGGGAGAGAAGGCGGTGGCAGATTGGGGTCTGGGTTGGATGTAGGATGACAAAACAGTCCTTCTAGGAGTAAAATAAAACAGCTTTTTTAAAAGCCACCCACCAAAATCTCTTAAGAACATTTCCCGTGTCATACTTTGTAAAAAATTTTTGTGATTTCAATTATTATTAAAATGAATCCATGTCTCCTCTTTTACGGTGGGACTTCACCACCAAGGCCGAGCATCAACTATGCAGAACGGGGTGTCCCAAATCCAATGGAAAATTACGAAGCTCTAACAGTTGTGGTTTCAATTGAAGCGAGTGTTGGTAGTGAGTGAGGGCCTATGGTTGTTAGTAGCAAATACTAAGCTTAAAAATGAATACATTGTAAAATAAAACAAATGATCGAACATCAATTTTAATGCAAAAGTACAAGAAAATCGTCTTTAACAAGAAATGAAGGCTCACTGGCTGTATTACTATCGAACAGGCCGATAATTTATTTCTCCAACTCACTTTTTTAGACAACATCTCTCCTGAGATACTTCTTTTTTAAATGATCAAGTAAACCATTTGTTTATGAACTGATATTGGTACCAGAGGTGAAGAGGTGTTACTATGAAAATGCTTGGTTATATCCCTACACGCTTTTTACTTTTTTATGATATAAAAAAGACGGTTTCTTCTAAATAATAAAAATTAGGTATATCCTTAATGTACCTTTCCTCACATTCATTTTTAATTCATATGAGTCTAGAAAAGCATGAAATCAGGAGGAGAATGAATACCTTTCTTCCACAGTAGTTATTAATAACAGGTCATGTTAGAATTTGATTAGAATTTGGGAATTAGTCTATTTAATATTATTGTTAGAAACTTAAAAACTTGCTCAGGTTGCCTCACTCCAGCCATTTTTCATGAAATTTGTTTCCTTGTTTCAAAGCTAATTGTTTTATCTTAAGTCATGTTTTTTTTTCTAAAGCATTATGCACATATATTAACCTGTAATTTTTTTATTTCATTAATTTTTTTAGTTGCAGTAGCAACCTTTCACGAGATTTTCTCCCTGAACTTCCTTTGATTCCAAAGCCAGGCGAATGCATCTGAAAGAAAACATCGTATGAGACAAAGCACAAAGCCAAAAAACAAACGTTCACTTGACAGCATGCGTTTTTCTCTCCACTATTTCATGCTGGACTTTATCTAAAAGTTATCACCTGGCATGTCAAAATAACATAACAACACACTGCTTTTAAGATGTCTTAATATTATATCTTTTGACTTTAAACATAGTAAACACCATTAGAGAGCAACACACGTGTGTGAGAGTCTGTGGGGGATATTGTGATCTCTTGGCTGGTAATTAAAAGAAAAAAGATAAATCCAGAGCCAAACACTGTCAATTTGAAGCAGGTCTCTATTTGTGGATTCCAGTCTAATGAGTGCAAAGCATGATGGGAAGGACCATGTTATGTAATCCCTTTCCATGTTACCAGGTAACGGCTAAAGAGAGCACATGGAAAAACAATGAAAACTCTCAAGTCAGGGTGCAGACCCAGAATAAAGAGAAATAAACTTACTAAGGTAACTCAGCTGACTACCCTTTGATATTAAACTGCTTTAAAAACACATCTAAGACATTAACTGACTGACGGTTAAGATATTTAGCTTTAATAACATAGCATTTTGTAGCTTGTAAATATAAAAACTGTCAACAAAATCTGCTCATTTCACATACATGAACAAAAAATTATGTGGAAAATGCTAAACTAGCATCTTTTGTACAAAATTTTAATAATCATGTATGAAACAGAGAGTATATATATGGAATAGGATAACTATTGATAAAAAAATCTAAATGTATAAATGTAAGTCAATAAAACCTGTATATCATATGTTTCATTGTGCGAATGCAAGTTATAAAGGTACAGTAGAACTCGGCCACAATACAAGGAAACAAGCACAAAAAAGGAACAAATTTACCTGTATCAACAAAAATGTCTGAGTGTGAAAGTTTCTCAGTACAAATCGCAGATTTATGAGGACCAAGAACACATTTAAAAATACAAATTTAGAAGAATTAATTAATAATTATATATGAGATCTAAAAATTCATGAGAAGTATTGACTACAAACAACAAATGCATGATAAGAACTTAACAATGTATAAGAAGGAATCATATATTTACCGCCGGTGCGAATTAAAAATTTACAAGTAAAAATCACAAATTCCGAAACCACAAACTTCACATGAATCACATGAAAAAATATTTTGCAATCGTACTTCGGATTTTCCGACATGTGGTGGCGACGTCTGAACTTGTATTCCGACAGAGGAAACATGTGATGTCACATGATTAACAACACAGAACAAATACATATGTTAAATCTATACAGTGTTATTGACTTACATTTACAAATTCAGAAACCTACACGTCTTTATTGGCAGTTATCTTACTCCATACATATAGGATCAAATTTATTATTCAGGTGTATGTCAGTAAATTAGAATATCATAAAAACTTTCTTTGCTTCAATATTTTAATTCAAAAGACAAAATAAAATACAGTATTATAAATTACACACCAGGGAATATTTTAAGGATAATTCTGATGATTACTGCTAACAGCTAATGGAAGCCTCTGATTCAGCTTCTCGGAAATATTGAACTTTAATTTAGATTTATTTTATGTGGATAGTATTTCACGGTAAAAATAATCGCCCAAATGACTTAACTTTTATCCAGCAGACATCCTGCACCAGGGTGTTAGCCATAAAGGGTCTTTGCAAGTTGACCCTGGATACTGAGAGTGGAATAAATATCAATGGTTGAGGGGAAAGGAGGAGTGTTGGACAAAATATGGAACAAGAAACGATAAAAGGTACAGTCAATTAGAGCCTTAGGAACCATCCGGCGTCTCAGGAGGGGGAAGCGGTGCAGCACCAACACTGTTTATAGTGGGGATGGTGTGCTGCTGACCTCGACTCGGGACGTTGTGGGTCGGTGGGCGGAATACTTCGAAGACCTCCTCAATCCCACCAACATGTCTTCCATTGAGGAAGCTGGGCCTGGGGACTCTGGGCTGGGCTCTCCAATCTCTGTGGGCGAGGTCGCCGAGGTGGTTAAAAAGCTCCTCGGTGGCAGGGCCCCGGGGGTGGATGAGATCCGCCCGGAGTTCCTCAAGGTCCTGGATGTTGTGGGGTTGTGTTGGCTGACACGACTCTTCAACATAGCATGGACATCGGGGGCAGTCCCCCTGGATTGGCAGACTGGGGTGGTGGTCCCCCTATTCAAAAAGGGGGACCGGAGGGTGTGCTCCAATTACAGGGGAGTCACACTCTTAAGCCTCCCCGGCAAGGTCTATTCGGGGGTGCTGGAGAGGAGGGTCCGTCGGATAGTCGAACCTCGGATTCAGGAAGAGCAGTGTGGTTTCCGTCCTGGTCGTGGAACGCTGGACCAGCTCTACACCCTCAGCAGGGTCCTGGAGGGTGCATGGGAGTTCGCCCAACCAGTCTACATGTGCTTTGTGGACTTGGAGAAGGCGTTCGACCGTGTCCCTCGGGGGGCCCTGTGGGGGGTTCTCCGGGAGTACGGGGTGCCGGGCCCTTTGATACGGGCTGTCAGGTCCCTGTATGACCGGTGTCAGAGTCTGGTCCGCATTGCCAGCAGTAAGTCGGGCTCGTTTCCAGTGAGAGTTGGACTCCGCCAGGGCTGCCCTTTGTCACCGATTCTGTTCATTACCTTCATGGACAGAATTTCTAGGCGCAACCAAGGTGTTGAGGGGATCCGTTTTGGTGGCCTTAGGATTGCGTCTCTGCTTTTTGCAGATGATGTGGTCCTGTTGGCTTCATCAAGTCCTGATCTGCAGCTCTCGCTGGATCGGTTCGCAGCCGAGTGTGAAGCGGCCGGGATGGGGATCAGTGCCTCCAAATCCGAGGCCATGGTCTTGAGCCGGAAAAGGGTAGAGTGCCTTCTCCGGGTCAGGGGGGGTGTCCTGCCCTAAGTGGAGGAGTTTAAGTATCTTGGGATCTTGTTCACGAATGAGGGAAGAAGGGAGCGGGAGATCGACAGGCGGATTGGTGCAGCGTCTGCCGTGAAGCGGGCACTGTACCGGTCCGTCGTGGTGAAGAGAGAGCTGAGTCAAAAAGCGAAGCTCTCGATTTACCGGTCGATCTACGTTCCTACCCTCATCTATGGTCATGAACTCTGGGTCATGACCGAAAGAACGAGATCGCGGATACAAGCGGCCGAAATGGGTTTCCTCCGTAGGGTGGCTGGGCTCTCCCTTAGAGATAGGGTGAGAAGCTCGGTCATCCGGGAGGGACTCGGAGTAGAGCCGCTGCTCCTCCACGTCGAGAGGAGCCAGTTGAGGTGGCTTGGGCATCTGTTTAGGATGCCTCCTGGACGCCTCCCTGGTGAGGTGTTCCGGGCACGTCCCACCGGGGGGAGGCCCCGGGGAAGACCCAGGACACGCTGGAGAGACTATGTTTCTCGGCTGGCCTGGGAACGCCTTGGGGTTCCTCCTGAAGAGCTGGAAGAAGTGGCTGGGGAGAGGGAAGTCTGGGCCTCCCTTCTTAAGCTGCTGCCCCCGCGACCCGACCCCGGATAAGCGGAGGAAGATGGATGGATGGATAGATGGAACCACCATAAATGGGTTTAACTGCTCCATCCCCTAAGTTTAGCCTCTCGTGAACTAGAGATGATGAACTCAGTTGTTTATCGGTACAAAAAGTTCATTTCATTTAGAAATCAAGGTCCCGGAGTCTGGAGGAAGAACATAGAGCATATTATTCGTTTAATATCCTATTACTGGTCCTGATAAGATATTTCAGAGTGATGCTTCTCTGTGCAGAAAAGCTTTTTATAGAGATACTGATACTGATGCTGTAGAGTATTCAAATCCAAAGAGCCATTTTACATCGAGCCCAGCAAAATAAAAGTCCTTTAGGGCCGTAAAAAAAAAATCACATGACCTTTAAATAAAACACAGCTTATTATTTTTTATCAAATATCTGCTTAAGGAAATCTGTTGCATTTTATTAACAACAAAGAGTTTATTAGTATTATTAGTGCTTTACCCTATAATACCAAATGTGTCATATTTGAGCTTTTGAGACATCTTCAACGTGATATTTTTGTTTTAGAAAAACCTGATTTATACAATCGTACAGAAAAGGAAAATTAAAAAATAAATGACAGTGAAATGCATAATGTGTGACAAAAGATACAAATAATTTCTCCAATTTTAATTATTCAAAATGAATGCTGTTATTTTTAATTACCGTATTTTCACGACTATAAGGCGCACTTAAACGTCTTTTTTTTCCTCAAAATGTGCGGTGCGCCCTATGGTGCGGTGCGCCTTATGTGTGTTGTAACTGCGACTTTTGAGACCACCTCATTGAGGACATGATGAAAGAGTGGCTGAATGTAAGGAGACCAGGTGTTTTTTTTCCACCCCTCACCATCGCTGTTAATATGTAACTCCATGCCCATCTCACAGCTGATGTGAAAAACATGGGGAAACAAATTAACGCTGTGCTCGCTGTTCAACCGCTCGACATCGGTGTGAACCGGACCCAGCAGGTGCAGCAGAAGCAGCGAGTTTACATGCAAAGTCAATGGTTGACGCGCATATAGGTGCAGCAAAAGGTCCTGCAGCGCGTTTTGGTGCAGCACGTCGGGAGCGTTTAAGCATCTGACGCACCGCCAACGCGCTGCTGCTGCTCAGATGGAAAAATTGAAGTTTTGCTGCTGGACGCGCCGCATCAACCAATCAGAGAAGCTGATCTGGGAGCTGGCTGGGAGACAGACACAGCGCTCTGATGACATATGATATTAACGCAAATGAAAAAGGCTGGATGAATGAGGAGATGATGAAAGGCAGGTGTATGTGAGGAGACCAGGTGTTTTTTTCCACGCATCACCATCGCTGCGTGCCCATATTACAGCCGATGTGAAAAAAAGGTGAATCAAATGAACGCTGTGCTCGCCGTTATCTCGGGGGTCTGACAAAGGAACTTCAACCGCTTGACATCGGTGTGGAGCGGCCGTTCACAGTAAGGCTGCGAGCGGCGTGGGAGCGATGGATGACAGACTGAGACCACAGTTTCAGGATAAATGGAAGGCAGCGCCGGGCAAGTTACGCCACCGTTTGCGGATGGATTGTAGATGGACTAACGTGTCTGCTGGCTCTGTTCTTCAAGCTTTTGCAAAAGCCGGCATTATTTCTGAGGAGCTGCGCTGCACGGAAAGTGACTGACAGCGCAGAAAAAGGGGAAACTGGCATGTCTGATTTAGCGCAGCTTTTTAATTCAGAGGAATGCTGAGGATAACAGAGGATGATGACTTTGATGGGTTTGATTAATACTTTGTAATAAATACATGAATAAAGCACAATCATACTCAGGTTTGCTCCCGCTCTATTTTTCTACCTGAAAACTTAATTCAACAGCAGCCTCTGGTCTCCTCCTCCTCTTCAGCGCGGCGGCTGGCAGGTGTTTTTTCATCTAAATAATCTAAATCTTGCAGCTATATTTGCTGTGATCAGTTGGAATAAAGTAGTTTTAATATGTTTTTAAGTGAGAAAGGCCACCTGAAAACTTAATAATTGCAGTCAGTTCATCCAGATTATCTATTTCTGTCGGAGGCGCTCAGACCCCCACATACCAGCGGTGCGCCGACAGGAGAAATCCTTTCGTTCACCGCGGCTGCTGGCAGGTGTTTTTTCATCTAAATAATTTTAGCTGCAGGCACCAGGATACCGGTAATAAAAGCGAACATATTCCGTCGGCAGGTTTCAGGATTTTAAGTTAATTTAGGAGTGATCACAGCGCTGTGTCATCTGCGATGTGTCTGTCTCACGGCCAGCTGCCAGGTTTGATTAATACTTTGTAATAAATACATGAATAAAGCACAGTCATACTCAGTTTTGCCCCCGCTGTATTTTTAAATACGCAGTAGAGGTATTTAAAGGTAGTAGAGGACATGTACCTGTATATAAAAAACGCGCCCTATAGTCCGGTGCGCCTTATGTGTGTGTTAAATACAGAAATGGGACACATAACTGAGAGTGCGCCTTTTAGTCCGGTGCGCCTTATGGTCGTGAAAATACGGTAATAATGATAATAATTGTAAATTATTAAATGTAATAAAATAGAATGAGGACAAAACATAATGTCTCTTTAAGGGGAAATATTGACTTCCTCTCTAGGGATATTATTTTATTTAAAAAATAAATGAAAAAAAAAATAATTTGCAGCCTAATGACAAGAAATATTGTTCTAGAAAACATAATGATGGTTTTCTAAGCCAAACCCCTTTGATAATCAATGGTTTTCATGCAGAGGTGGGTTAAATTCACTCAGTTACTTTTAGTTAGGTAACTTCTTGGGACAAATGTACTTCAACGAGTAGTTTTCCTGCATTGTTCTATTTACTTTTACTTGACTAATAAATATGAAAAAAATATCAGTTCTCTTACTTGGGTAAAATGTCTGGCTACTCGACCCATCCTGAGTTACTTCCCTTTATGAATAACAGGCAAGTTTTAAACAAAAACACACCAGAAAGACAAACCTACAGTACGCTTCTGTTTAGTTCTCCAGCCTCCAGCTGTTTTAATTTTATTTTCTTTCTGCTGATCCTGTCCTGTCATTTGGAGGTCAAATGGAAATACAGGTCACTGTGTCATGTTGCAGGAAGTAACCTGCCCTTTTCCAACCTATATAGCCTACATAACATACTATCAATAATGACCTCAGAGATTTATAGTAAACAATATCTTCCATCCGCAATTGATGTTCAAGTTTGTTATTTATATAGAATTGAATATCCAATTTTCTAAATTTAGCAGATAAATGTACATGTTTTAATCATTTTTAGTACATTAAATCAGATGTTA